AGTGTCCCTGGGATGGGACTCCTCTCTGAACTCTCACAGCAAGCTCACTCCTCTCTACAGTTTATATATATATATGGGGGGGGGTCATTTTTTCAAATTCAACTTCAAATCTATGTGACTAGCACACCCACCTTTAATTAATAAGGGCCCAGTGAGCCTGCAATCCCGCCTTTTCTGCATTCTCCAACACTGCTTGGGAAAAAGGCGAATTCCTGCAGAATATTGGAGCAACACTTCAGGTGGACTTACCAGCAGTGGGGTCAAGTTCTCCTCATTGATGAATCAAGGTATTGTGGGCTGTAGACTGCGAATGCAGTATGGAAATGTAGAATAACACACACTAATTGTAGTGTACAGCTGAGCAACAAATGGGGAGGTCCAAGTCTGATGATCTGACTAGGAATGTCATGTTTGGTGGTTCTCAGTGGCTGCATTAACACATATTCTTGCATTCCTAGCCAACAACAATGTACAAAAAAATGAAAGTTTACGACTTAGTTTGAAAATACTCTTCCCAGATTCATGAAAATAAAACACTAAGATTTGTATCTCTATTTATTATACACAATAGCAGTAGGTACAGTATCTCATCTTTTCTAAAAATTTTAGTGAAAGAATTGGGCTGTATTGAAATTACTGTGAACTGGTTCAGCATTCTGCTGTAAATTCACTTTTTTTAATAGAAAGTATTTCCATAACAGTCATGTCAAATAGTTTACCATAACTGAATGGTTTTCTAAGTTTTTTTATTTTATTTCTTTAAATAGTCATGCAGCCAAGAATGTATTAAATAAAATCTCCTAATGTTCACTGTTGTTTTTATGGCTTTTGCATCATATGTCTTTGATTTTTCAGTTATCGTGGAATGCATGTTATAATGCCTTTGCAATGCCTTTGTTTCATTTAATCAATTTCTTTTTTTACAAATTGCACATCCTGGATTTTTCACCGATTCAAGTGGTTTGATGTCATTCTATTTAGAAATTTAGAAAAAAAAATCTTCCTTCCATGTTCTACCTTTTTAGGAGCAGATGAATCATTTTGAGTGCTACTACTGTAAAATCAGCATCATGCTATGGGGAATAATAAAACAAATGTCATACACCCATTAAGCTTTGACCAAAAAACTCTATCCCAAAACCAGCGACAGCATTAAATTGACCAATAGCCACGAGTAAAGAAGTCATGTGATGTGCAGCCAATTAACTTACCATGTGGATGGAAAGCAAATATGCTATTTGTTTACATCTACTGTACATTTTTATGTACCATGGTGCATACCATGTAAAAGATCGTAACCTACATTTCATTAATGACATTTAACAAAAGTACAACACCACTATGTCCAGACACCATTGTGGGCATGAAAACATAGCTTGTAGCCACATTTGTGAAAAGTTGTTATTTTATAAAGGCTATTTTATGTGCCTATCGGCTCATATTAGTATATATACTAGACCGTTTTTCATAAATAAAATATAGGTATATGACATGGATTAGTGGTTGCGAATAGTTTGTCAATATATCTGAGAATATACAGAATGTGGACTTTAAATATACTGTACTTAACAGGTCATTTCCATATCCAAGCTCATAAGGTCAAAGCTTATCCTGGTTTCTGTGGATGACAGAGTTTTCAAAACCCCGTCAGTAGAATGCCAGGCATTCACAGGGAGTTCCCACAGTATTGCTGGTGCCAGCTCATGGACTGGAGCAACCAGTCTGCAGTATGGATTGGAACCTACAACCAATTAAAATGTAGCAATCTGGATTTCCTGTCCATAACAACACATTAGTCTGGTATTATCCCTACAAAACATCCTATATTGAAGTGTTCATTACACTAACATGCAGGGGTTCCCAAACACACTCCAGGAATGCGTTTTAATGCTTTAGCTGTTTAACAACTTGCTTCAGGTTTTAAAGTGCTGTTGATTTAAAGTGGGAATCTCCAACTCCCTTCCTGTAGAGACCCACTCCATCAGGTTCTGGAAGTCACCATTATATTTCTAAAGATAGGCAAGAACTCGATGGCGTTCAATTAAACAGGTGATTGCTAAAAGCAATTTAGAGATCATTTAAGACTATATAGGAGTGGATTAGGGTTGTCCATGGTTGGAGATCACTATCCTATGCATAAGTAGATAGCCATTTGCCTCACTAAATAATTCAATTAAATAATCAAATTGGCACAGTCTCAGTCCTCAGGTATCATATCTCAAATACATTCCTGAGTCCCACAAAAGTCATAGCCTTAGTATAATTACTTTTCAAGCCCACACTTGTTTCACCATTCAAATTCATGCATAAGGGCGTCTCAAGGCCTTTGTATTGGTTTAACCTTAGGCTCCTTGTAGATCTTTGTAGATGGCCAAATACCTTGTGGTGATGTAACTTGTCTGTGAAGTAGAGTTTTCTTTAAGGTCTTCTTATGTACGGTACCATTAAGGCTGCACAAAGCGTCCCTTTGTTTCATAGGAAGAGGTAACAGTTGCTGTGTCCATATCATTTACTTATAATAGCATAATACAGGTCTGCTACTACAACAAGACAGGATGGGCAGTTTTGGTATTGGTTTATTCGGCTTGATAAGGCTGTCCTTAACAATGCATGTGATTTACATAGTCTTTTAATCCAGGGTGTTCTAACCAATTTTTTTTTTATTTTAAAGTGGCCTGTTTATAATTCCTTTGATATTAAGATCACTGGCAGTAGTCCTAATATCCCAACTGTGTATCATGTTAAGAATTTTCACAATGGGAAAAGATATGTAAATATTAACTTCAATAAGTTTCTTGTCAGCTGGCCAGATCACACACAAAAAAATATGAAGAGAAAAGAAACATGAAGGTATTGCCTTTTGTACAGTACTTTGTGAATCTTGGATCCTAGGAAACCTGGCATTGCAAGTGCTCATTTGGAAAGTGCTCAAGCTCTGGTCAAACAACCATAAGTGTACTGAGACATTATGTTCACATATAGCTACAGTATTCCTCAGTATCATATTATGAGTCCCATAACTTAAGCATGTTTCATGTTTCAGCATAAAAAAACTTAATTAGTATGTTTGTAAAAATAAAAATGCATGTAAAAAAAAACAGAGGCAAAACCAGACGAGGTGAAACCAATCTCTTAACCCAAGCTCTTAAACTTCTTGGACTAATCTCCTAACATCTTAGACATCTTAAATCAACTTCAACCAACTTTCATCTGTTTTCTGCTAAGCTTTACTAGCCTGATATTATCTGCCCAGTGTTTCTTCCAAACCCAAAGTGTTTAGGCCCTGGAGTTTGTTACTTCTTAATTGCTTGGGATGTTTTTTTTTAGCCCAGGTTTATTTAATTAAGCAAAATTAGGAACTGTAACAAGTTATTTAGAAGCTGGCGGGGGGAAAGAAAGAGCACTTCTCAAAAAAACCCAATGCCTGCAGAATATCATGGGTTTTACAGTCTCACATGTTCTCACTGTCAGTGTTCAGCAGAGTAATTTTCAAACACTATGAGTGAATCTTTCTTTTTTTGAGCCTTATCTTCTCTTTCCTTCTCATTTTTACAGTGGCATTATGGTGAGCAATACATGTCATGCTTGTGGCAGGTTATACAGAAGTACTACCAGGTATTTGAACCCAGAAAAAGAAAAAAAAGTCAGCTCAGCTTCTTTCTTCCAGGCTTTAACCAAAGTAGAAATGACACGCCAATGTTTGAGCTTAAGTTGTCTTGGAAAATTGGCACGGTGTAAATTTAGGCTTAAATGTCTTGGATGCACACACTTTCTGAACCATCTTGAAATATGCCTGGCAGGATTATTGCTTAAAGTCCGCCATAATGCTGTTCTCCTGCAGAGGAAGTCTGCAGTTTGAGGTACTTTACTTGTGTGCCAAAGGCAGACTTAATATGTAATAATTGGAAGAAATCTCAACTGGATGTCATATAAGATCAGTAGTTCAACTCCAAGAGTCTAGGTCCACCAATACTGGATGTCCCAAAACAATATACCACAAGATGTGTACTTGCAATTTAATTATTTTTCAAAATCAATCACATCTTTTACTTCTTAAACAAGAAGAAATTGGGCAGAGAATGTAAAAAGAGGCAGTCGGACGTCCTTCAATTACAAGAGAGGAGCTTCAGTGCAACTTCAGCACTCGATTTTGGATCCTCCTGAATCACTGACAGTTACCTAGACCCGTCAACACAAGCAGTTTCACTTTTTAAACTTTTTTCTTATAAGCAGTGTTACCTAAAATAGGGCACACCTAGACACAAACACACACTCATTCATACAAGGCTTGTTTTCCCAAAAGCCAATGAACCTACAGGTACCAATATGTCTTTGGACTGTGGGAGGCAACCAGACCACCCAGGGAAAACACAGGGTTAACATACAGCATTCTGGGTCCATAATGGAACCCAGGGCCCTACTGATCACGGCACCAGAGTTCCACCCAAACTGAATTAAATAATTCAGAAATCATCTGACATGGTAACTCTGAAGCATCCAAGAAAAACAACTTACCTTTTTTGACTTCAATCTCTTCAGAAAGTTAGGATTTACTGTATGAGTCACCTATAAGCTCTTCTGGATTGTGACTATCCAGCTACAGGACCCCTGCTTTCATCCATACTGTTCCTTCACTCATCAAAATATTAGGTATTCCCAGCACACAGTGTATGAGCCCTTCACAGAAAAAGCAGGAACAGCTTGAACCACTCCTTTTGATTTTTGTGTACACCCGATCTATTCTCCAAACAGGTTCACCTTCAGATGGAGCTGTAAGAAGGGCAATGGTCTGGGATTGGACTGCAAATTGCTGTGGTTCATATGATATTTAGCAGAATAATGATCTTTCTATTGCTTTGGCCAGGGTGGGGTGATGGGAGCCTTTCAGATTCATCAAGCCACTTACAGAGTTTATGAATTATCCTATATTGTTCCTAATATTTTGCCCACATAGTGTTAAACTTTTATAATGTGTTACAAAAACAAACATGAGACAAAAGGAAACAGAAACCATGTTCTTTACTTAACCTCTTGGACTGCTGGGTATCCAGATGTTAAACTTACAAGAGATGAACCACCACCAAATAACACATTGACCACTTCATATACCAGCAGAAACATTCTGTACATTACTTTGGACATAAGTGTCCTCTCTGCTGCTCTAGGTTCAAGTGTGAATATTTCAAAAGAAAGAGTGCTGTAACTGATTTCCCCAGGTTAAACTTCATCAGCTTCTTCTCAGTTAGTCATTATTTTTTTGTTCTTTATGGACATAAAGGAGAAGCACCGTTATGATGTCATTACACACAAAAGTCTTAATTTCAGCACCCACATCCCACTGCCTCACACCCATTTTAGGAAATCATTTACATGCTCTGAACTCACACCTGTAGCTCTTTACTTATAGGCCAATAAGTTAAAAAATAATTAAAGTTAATATTCCAGTTCTCCATTAGAAAGTCTTTAGTCTTCCAAAGTTGGTTTTTTTTTGACAATTCTGCCTTTCATTTGTAAATCTTTTTTTCTCACTTTTTTTTTTGGTAGAAAACAGTCCCGCATAAATGAAGACCTGTCTGTACAGCAAAGGTGGCTTCTCTCATCGCAGTTTAAAGTCTCCATATGTGTTCCGAGGTATTGACATCAGTTTTTCTATGCAGGTAACTTTTGTATCCTGTAAAGAGCTGTGCCAGACCATATTTATCGGCCGAATCTCCTCGCTCCGACAGAAGATATAGGGCACTGTGTCTGTCCGGCTCTGGATGTAGGCACTGTGGAGCAGAGCGGTACAGTATCTGCTGATTCTGTCCACTCTCCTGAGAATCAGGTGGGCTTTTCTGGAAAAGAAAAGAGCAAAATATCATAAAAATACTCTAAATCTGATCACCAAAGCCTTAAAAAAATTCCTCCTTGCTGCATTTCCTCTACAGTTATTACTGGTTTTGGAAACGTAATGTTCATTTCATCACACACATATGAGCAAATACTGTATACTGATGTTTCCCAGTAATGTTTCCCACTATAATTACTTGAACTGTCCCTCGGGGCCCCCCTTACTCCCCCCAGAAAAGAATAACAAAAAAGCTCATTGACTGCAATCCTGAAAAAAAAAATGGTATGGAATAAAAGCTGTTTGGGACATTACTGGCTCTCACTGTCAAACTGTTTAGTTTATTGTACTTTTAATCAAAGCAATACCATAGACGTTTTTCTTTTTTTTTCTTGTTCTGGGCCAATTCCTTAAAAAAATGAAAAGAAAATATGAGAAGCCATAACTATGAGGGTTACTTTTGGAAACTGTTACAATGCCTCAACAAACCCTATTGTTTTTCAATAAAAACAACTTTCCTGGGTTTATGTTATCACTTTTTTCTGGAGAAATTAATGGATATTTTATTCTTTCAGCTGGGGGAATGAAGTGAACTTTTCTTTGCTTTCATTCAGTCTCATTATACACCATCCCAGGTTAGGCTGTGTTAAGAGCATGCGATCGCTTACATTAATATTGCCTTATTTCTCTTTGTGTTTAAAACCAAAATGTTCCCTTCACGCCATGCCTTGCATTTATAAATTACATTTTTGTATGACTCATTTCCAAATCGATACAAAATGCTATGCAAAGCTATCTGGCCTTCACGTTTAAAAATAAAACATTTCTGTCCTGCACTCGTTTGTTTAAAAAAATAATACATGAACTAACAAAGCGGAGTGGAATCTCACTGAAATAACAGCCTTGTGGAACCCTGCTGAAAGTATGAGAAACTGCTGATTGAATTAAATTCATGGTGCCTTATTGCAGTCTGCAAAAGCCTCTACATGTTTAATAATGTTCGACTTTACACTCCTTTCAGGAAGTGAGGATGAATAGTATTAAATGCGTATCGGAAGTTAATAAAGAATATTTTCTATGATTTCAAGTTCAGGTGCATTTAGTAACAAATTTACTGCAATCTAAAAATACTGTGGGAGCTGTGTGCTACAGTATGGTAAATAACACTCTTAAAAACGCCATGCATTCAGGCTTCAGCTCAAAGACGTCAGCCTGGGAATCATTATGAATTCTCTGTGCACGTTATTTTAGTGTTGACTTTCCGTCTCAAAACTGTGATGGAATACAAGCGTTCCACACCTCTTTTAATGTAAAAACAAGTGCCATTTCGATAAACTCCAACACAACAGTGAGAAAAATAGGCATTAAAAAGTTTACAGCCCCACAGAGGCCTATGAAATTCAGACAAAATTGTGCAGAAAAGCTTTCCCATGTCAGAGTTACAGTAATAAACGTATATGATATGAGCTCCCCCTCTGTGCCTTTTTGATTAAGACCCTCGTGAATTGAGATGTGGCCAAGCTAGGAAGAGAGGGTCGTCTGCTCTTGGTGTGGAACAAGATCCAACTCATTTTCTGTACTGGGCAGGCAAGGGTTTTAACTCACACCTTTTCCTTTGCAGATACTGTATAGTTATGAACAGAACGGGAGCCGCAGTTTATATATTGCATGTCTAAGTGCCTCTACCTGAACACACTGGAGCTTAGGAGCTTTATTTCACAACGGGATGAGCACAAGTAAGAGGATTTTCCAAGATGATACGTGATTTCCATTGGGAAAAAACCCCACACAAACATACAAATGAAATGAGAAAAGCTTCAAGAAATACTGTATTTTCAATCAGTGTTTTCTATTGAATACACAATGATGAAAGATAACCAATTCTTTACAGGGTGCTTATAAATTAGACGAACTACTCAAGCAGCTCTAATGTGAAAAGCTGTGCACCTTGGAGAAATTAAATCTGCCTCACATTGGAAATGGAACAAGTGGAACATGTTGCCAAGAACAATAATGGTACAGTACAGTACAGTGAAAAACACTGGTAACTCACAGAGGGTCGGCAGTGTCTTTTTAGGATATAAAATCTGCTGAATACCAGTGATGTTTGCAACCTCTAATGCTTGGTTTTTGTTCACAGGAATATATTCCCAATTGTCCCATTAGTATGTGTAACAAATTCCATTGTGGGTAGTCTTCAAGGTCTAGCTGTTTAAAGAATTAGCTTCATAAGTGCACTGTATCTCTCAATTAAGATTCTACCTTTATATATCAATATAATGCACAGTATATTAAATGTATATATTGCTGCAGATTGCTGTTGTGTGTGTTAAAGTGGTGGTGAGTTAACAACTTGTATGCACCAATGTAGCGGACAGAAAGGTCTGTTATACTGTAGGAGGTGTCAGTTACCAATGGCTAGTGTTTGCAAACAGTTAAAAGATTTTTATTGGTGTTTGCTAAGAATCTTGGAATTGTTTGTACTTTTGTATGTACTGTATGTGTTTGTGCTTCTAAAATGTCATAGCTGTCCTAGGGGTTGAACAGCGTACTGTCTGAACAGGTAGTTCCATAAAACCTGGGTTTTTGTTTTGATTGTATGAAGAACTCACCACACCATGAAGACCTTCCTAATCCTGTGGATTTTTTTGTTTGTGCCAGGTGTTTAATGGGCCAAGATCCATCCTGTAGGATCATCTTCCACTTTATAAAGTTTAAATATTAGTCAATCTTGACACCATCTTATGTACAAGCAGGCTCCAAAAGTTAAATAATAAACCACCCTTTTTGTCAGAAAAAAACGAATAAAGTTATGTGGCTTCTTCAATTACCATTGAACAGATTAGCTACATAGACGAGATTTTGAAATGCATGTACATATTAAACAAAGTTTAGAATAATACAAAAAAGATTAATATTTACAAATTACCCTGTGTATTTGGAACAGGTTCCAGAGTACAAAACATACATTAAAACTTCACACTCTTAATTACTCACCATGGCAAGCCCTAATCCACTCTATATTTGGAACGAAATAAGACTTTGTCATAAAGTAATTATTCCTCCACAGGGAAACCCACACTCTAGACAGGTGGCAGAAGAAAACAGTCATTTATCCTTCTAAGAGAAAGCAACCACATATAAAGAAGAATGACAAACCTTGCTAAGAGGAGTTAACAAGGGACATCAATCACATCTCCTTTGTTTAAATTAAATCTGAGTCCCTAAAGAGTCAGATACCTGAAAGGTTTATGTTCATTAATGAGGACTCTAAGTGGAGAAAACTGTCTGGCGTGATAAATCATTCTGTTGATATACAGTATCTGTTAATGAGATATGCTGCCCCCCCCAATCCAATTTGAAGATTTGATTTTGGAACTGCTTCTTTCAACAGATAACAATGAGATATAAAAGTTCATCAAAACAGTCCATCAGTTCCAAGCACACTAGTACTGGTGTGGAACACCTCTTGATGATGAAGGAAACTAAAATAACCAATAACATTATTAATATTATAAGGTTACAATGATCAGTGCCTAACTTTATAGGATATAGCGATACATGATGAAATAATCTTGTGCTCCAGTATATTTTAGCTAAATGTCCTTTGGTTTTATAAAAAGAAATGAAACCACCTATTCAAAATTTGGTACTGTTTATACAGTAGCATACAGTATATCATAATTATCTTTTTCTGGCATACTTTCATAAAGTTCTTTTTGTGATATGAAACTCCAGTTTTAAGGCATTTTGACTAATATAAAGCCATTTTAGCAAAATGGAAATTGAAAAAGAAATGAGTCAGTTGTGAATATTTTCCCCCCATGTGTTTAGTTTTCAATGTGATCTGGGTCATGCCCAAGATAAAAGTCACAACTCAACCTCAAGACAGCATGACAGAATTTTGTATAGTTTGGCAAGTATGAGCAGTCATGCTTTTCAAATGTTAAGGATTAATGTCTAAAGAACATTCAGATTAGAGGAGAGAAAGCTATATAAAAACCTTAATGGCTCCTGGTGGAAACTGCCTGTTTGTAGCCAATGTCACTGTCACTGTTTATGAACACTAATAAAAAACAAAAAATTTAGATGAAAAATACAAGAAAGAAAATGTTCTGGTGGTCAAAATCAGTGTTTAAAAATGTATTTATTTTTTCTTTGTCTTAGTAGTAATAGTAATAGTAATAGTAACAGTTTCATTACTGTTAATAATGCCCTGTCATCTAATGAGTGACATGTTTAGCTCATTTCTTTATTACAAATAGGAGATCTAGAGTAGCCTTCAAACATCTATCTTTGGGACGTTTGAGAAAGCAAGATTACATTCAGTCTTCACAGAAGGCCCAGTCTAGAATAAAACCCATACTGTACCCATAGAGCTGAATGGCACTGGTGCTAACCAACACACCAGCAGTTTACTAAATTAGCTATTCCAGACAGTTAAATGCAGAGCTACATGAACACACAAAATTGTAATTTTTTGTAAATAATCTCCAATCCGATTATTTGTACATGTATAGAATGCTTGTTCATTTCAGGAAACCTTCGTTTACAAATTATAATAAATTGACTATTATTGAATACAGGAAACATTTTTTTTCCCCACAAATAGTTTTAAACCATGTAGAACAGAACACTGGATTTTTCTTTCAATTAATATTTTTTATTTATTCTAATGAATAAAGCAATACAGTATATGGATCATGCATGCTCCACCTGGACCACATTATGCTAGGATGACTAAAATAAAGTACTCTAATATAGGAAACTATCATCTCAAAATGTGGGATGCGAACTACTGTACACCCAAAGACATACTGTGCACACACCACACAGCAAAGTTACTGCTATCCACAGACAGGTAAATGGATTAATGCCATGAAAATTCATTTCCAAACAGGTGTGCGAGCCATAACACAAAAAGTCAGACTGTGTACTGGCTACTACTCAAGCCTAAAGATCTTACTACATTTCAGCATTAAAGTACTACTGCTATTATGAGTAACA